TTGTCTGAGTATGTTTTAAGGTAATAACAAATGTGAAATCTGGAAAACAAAGAGAATTCCTGAATCTGTCTTGTGTGCGGGCAGCACGGTGGCGCAACTGGTAGAGCTGCTGCCTCTCAGCGAGCAGGTCCCTGGTTCAAACCCCGGTCCAGGGCCTTTCTGGGTGGAGTTTGCATGTTCTCTCCGTGCATGCGTGGGTTTTCTCCGGGTACTCCGGTTTCCTCCCACAGACCAAAAACATGCATGTTAGACTGATTGGTAACTCTAAATTGTCCCTAGGTGTGAGTGAGAGAGTGAATGGTTGTTTGTCTCGTTTGTGTCTACGTGGCCCTGTGATGGACTTGCGACCCGTCCAGGGTGTACCCCGCCCCTCGCACAGTGATTGCTGGACATGGGCACCAGCGACCCCCGTGACCCAAAATGGAATAAACGGGTAAAGATAATGGATGGATGGATGGATGTCTTGTGTGCTTTGATGTGTACATAAGTTTATTGGAGGTCCTGAAACAACTTTTCTGAGAACACAAAATATTTTTATTTTACCTTTGGCCAAGATGTCAGTTTGAAATCAGGCTGCTTACTGCAAAACCAAGAGTTTTTGTAAGACAGACGGTCTTCATTTGTATTGTTTTGTCGACTAAGCTAAATGTAATTTCTAAAATATGGATAAATCTGATCTCATCATGCAGCATAAGCAACTGGGTATAGGTGTGAGGGCCAAAAGTCTGGTTATGTACTGACTCCTAAATGTGCTGGTTTTCTACTGAAACATGGAGTAGGGTTGACCTTTAAAATGTGAGACAGCTGAGGAAGTTAACCAGTAAACAGAATACCTGCTCCAGGTGCAGAAATCTTACAGAAACTGACAATCACTCATCTGCAGTGACTGCAGGTTGAACAAGACAATGTGAAGTTAAAGGAAACATTCTTTGTCCCAAGGCCAGTTTAAGTATCATTAATATTTTTCTTTCTTTATGAATCGATTGTAACTTTGTTCACATTTTTCAACAACCAAAATGGAATTTGTTTTTTAATGTTATGGCTAGGTATTAAAAAAACAACTAACATTTAGCTCCCCCACTACCCAGTTATGTTGCTCTTATTTTGAAATGTAACCGGAAGTTCTGTGTTAAGAGAGTCGAAAAAAGAAGTTATGGAGACGCCGCGGCAGTATACTGGAGCGATGTCGAACCGAGACACCGCCAGTGTTGAACCTGAGACGCCGCTAATGTCGAACCGGTTAACACCATAGACATAATGTGCCTGTGGTTAACACAATCTGCCAATAACACCTTGTTTTTAGACATAATGTGTCAGTGGTTACGGCATTTTATCGTTCAGCCTTTTTTTCTATCGTCCAATCAGATGTGGCCGGCCAGACACGCCTACTTTTCTATCGTCCAATCAAATATGGCCGGCCAGACACGCCTATTTTTCTATCGTCCAATCAGGTGCGGCCGGCCAGACACGCCTATTTTCATATAGTCCAATCAGATATGACCGCCCAGATACGCCTTCCGAATTTGGCTGCAGAGATACCTACTTGCTTCAACTTGACTGCCGGGTCAAATTGACCCGAACAGTATCGATGTAGCAAGTAGACGCAGGGGGTGGTACAAATGTGTAAAGTGAACCATTTTCAATTTATATGTTGAGTGGAACTATTAAGACAAATAGAAAAAGTTTCATGCAGAAAAAATATTTTCAACTATTTAAAAAAAAATGTAAACTTTAAAACGGGTCAATTTGACCTGCAACATAACAGGAGGGTTAATGTGCACGGCTTGTGTTCAGGTGTTCTCTACAGCCCAGTTATTATGGTACTGTTCCCTGAAGGAACAAGGTACAACACACGCCATGCTGCACAGTGGGGCTCGGGGACAAATAAAGACTAAATTGTCTATCGGCCTGTCACTTGTCTTCATGTCAGATGTCTAAAGGTGTGATCAGTTGTGTCTTCAGCTAGGACATGCTGGGACATGATTCCCCATACTTTGTGTTGTTCTTGTCCTTTTTTACAGAACGATAGTTGTATAGGTATATGCATAACATAACTTTTTTCTGATGTGCTCAATTTGATTTTCTTTTTAGAATACCTTGCTGACTGGCATCTCCTTGCTCTCTAACACTGCATCTTGTTTCTTTGTGTTTGTTCCTTTGTGTGTGTGTGTGTGTGTGTGTGTGTGTGTGTGTGTGTGTGTGTGTGTGTGCGTGTGCGCTTCTTGCACAACAGAAATCTTTCAATGTTTCCTCTCAGCACGTGAGGTGGCTCGAAGTCGCGACAGAGAGCGGGTTAGCAGCAACACTGGACTGGGCTCTGGATCAGCGTCCCGGAGCAGTGGAGGAGGGGGAGGAGAGGGGGACCCCATTTTGTCTCAGGAAGGAAGGCGTGGCAGCTCAGGACTCGCAGAAGGTCAGGATTTGTACACGGCAGCCTGCAACTCTGTGATCCACCGCTGCGCCTTGCTGCTGCTGGGGGTCAGCCCGATACTGGGTGAGCTGACCAAACAAGACCAGGAGGACGGCCCAGCTCGGATGGCAACAGGAACACAGGAGTGTCTGAGCTTCATGACCAGGTCAGAGTCAAGACGGCAGCTGTCTGATTGTAAACTGTAGCCCAGGGATTTTAAATTGAATTGCTTTGGGGCCTTAATTGCTGAAAGGAAACAGTTCAGGGGTCAGATATCTAACAATTATTGTCATTATTTATAATTTATGAATACATGTGTAGTTTTCTTTTTAAATGAACTCATTGGTAGGTGGGCTGAGGTTTATAGCCCTGTCATAGATTATTTCTATAACAAAATCACCTTTCTGATAAAATGTCATTTTAGAAAAATTTCTCTTGTTTTTCTCACATTTTCTGTCAGATTTTAAATCTTTTTGTTATCACTGTAATTGCCGGTCTTTAGAACGCAGCTGACTGCAACCCCACATACTAAATTTAAAAGAAAACACAACTTTGTACATAAATAAGACGCACTGGTGCATAAGCCATGGGTGTCCTCAAATGAATCTCAGAAACCGTACACTGCTCCTGATAGTGTGCAGCTCTTGTTGTAGTACAAGAACCAACCACCAGATGGTGCTTCATAGACGCTGGCTTACCTTATACACACAGAATGCTGATCCCACAGGACTTCATGATGAGACAAAATTCTTTAGCAAATTCTGTATTTATTCTATTATTTCTGGACTATTGAGTGCACCTGAATATAAGCCGCACCCACCAAAGTAAATTAAAATAATAATAATAATTTTGTACATATATAAGCTGCACCCAATTACTAATTGCATAGCCGTAAGTGGGTGCCACTTAGCCACACCCATCTACGTACCAGTAACATACATGAATACATATGGCAATTTTTTTTTTTTAACAATGCCTATAACATACTATCTAAAGGTGCATTCACACCTGATAGTCCGGTAGGCTCGGTTCGGTTCTGGACCAATATTCATGACATGTTGTTACATTTGAGCTGGTGCGTTTGCATTCACACTGCACTGTGCAGTCGAGCCAACCTGTTTGAACAAACCTGTTCCCCCACTCGCCTG